TCAAATGCCAGAGTTTCTGAGCCAACATTTTGGTTGCTAAGCAAGAGCATTGTTAAGTGAGTTTCACAACATTTTACAAGTTGACCACGCCCACCCAGTCACATGACTGCCAAGCCACTCCCACTCAGTCACATGGCTGGCAAGCCACTCCCACCCAGTCACATTGCCGGCAAGCCACTCCCACAAAGCAGGCCACACCTACAGAAGAGGTTCTAAAAAATTTTGAAACCCACCAGTTGATATGGGACGCAGTGGCTCAGTAGCTAAGATGTTGAGCTTGTCAATTGAAAGGTTGGTAATTCAGCAGTTCGAATCCCTAGCGCCGTGCAACAGAGTGAGCTCCCGTTACTTGTCCCAGATTCTGCCAACCTAGTTGTTAGAAAGCACGTAAAAAGGCAAGTAGAAAAACAGAAACCGCCTTTGCTGGGAAGGTAACAGCGTTCCGTGTGCCTTTGGCATTTAGTCATGCCGGCCACATGACTATGGAGACGTCTTTGGACAGCACTGACTCTTGGGCTTTGAAACAGAGATGAGCACCGCCGCCTAACATCAGGAATAACTAGCATGTATGTCCAAAGAGAACCTTTACCTTATACTTTATTTACAATGAAAAAACTATATTGACTGAAAGAAATGGTTTAGAGTGAAGAGAGTTCAGCTGCAGCTGAAATAAACAAGGAAATAATATATTTTGTGAAGATAAAAGGGCAAGATTTCATGGGACATTGTTCTTCATCACATCAGTCCTAACTGTGCTCTGATGACAACCTAAAATTGTCACCTATATAACAAAGCATTTTAAAAAGGTAGCTTAAAAGTCGCCTCGTAAAGGATTGGACTTTTTCTTTGTATTTGGAATCTCTGTCACAGCAAACAACTAAATAGCTTGCTTGTGGCATTCAGTTTGATTCAAGGCTCTTCCAAGCATTCAGTGTCAAATGGGACAAAATTTTGCAATCATTATTTTGTCATACATGTGCACACGCCAAAAACATACATGCACACACAAAAGTCATAAAAGAGAACACAGAAACATACATTTATAAAGAATACACAATACAGTAAGAAAAGGGTTGCATTTTCTCCTACGTACAGGGCAATCGAGCAATGATTTGCCACTTTTTGGAAGTGATGCTCTTTTCACATTTGCAAATGAATAGAGCATATTTTCCACTAAATTGCCACCATTTCCCATGCCTTTCCGCTGAGGGAAAAATGGGAAAAGCATAGAATGATTTCTGAAAGTTTGTCTAATGCATAGATTCCCCACTGGGGAAAACCTCAATGGAATGACCTATCAGGAAAATACAAAGCAATCTTTAATGGTAAAGAGGGAGGCTCTGTAAAAGGGGAGAACTTTTCTTGAATCCCCATAGAATGAGTTGGGCCACCATACCAGAGTTTCCCAAATCCTGCTTTAATTGCTGCCTGGCCAACTAGATTTTCTTCAACACCAAAGAGAAACGTGTTGTTTAAAGTAATTGGGAAATGCTTTCCGTTGGGATCTTCTCTTCCCTTGATTCTCTCAAGTCAAAAGGAATCATGAGTGCCCATGGATTACTAGCCCATTCTCTCTCTTGTTGCAGAAAGATACATTTCTCAAATTGTAGGAGTAATGTAGGAGGATGGGTTCATGATGTAGATGATTCAATTCATTCAGCTTGATCAGTCTAAAGAAAGGTCATTCACAGACATTGATATATCAAGTGTTTTTCTTGTGTTCCTTTTGTTTGCCTAGCTGCCCCCCAGCCACTATTCTCAAGGAAATTCTGAGCAATGTACAGAGAGTAACTTTCTATGGATTTCTGATGGCTCTTGCAAAGCATCATGGGCTCAACAAAACTATTGGTAATGAAAAGTCCTTTATTTTCTATGAATACTGTTTTAAGAATTTGGTGGCCTAGATTCCTTCGTCAAGCATACAGAGTCCACAAGGTTAGTAGGTATATACCAGAAAAGTTTGTATTTAAAGGAAAACAATTCCATGAGATTTAAATAAGGCAAGTCACGTAACAAAACAAAAATGTTCCTTAATTCCCATCTCTCCCCATTAGATTTTTAGGTGATATAACCCTCCAGCAGCGAGGAAAGAGATGGGCAACTACCATTCTGCCCTGTGTCCGAGATCCTGATTTCCTTCTGTTTCAAAATCCAGAGTATATATTTTTTTTCATTTTTTTCCCCATTTATTTGACATTTATAGGCCGCCCTTTTCCCTGAGGGGACTCAGGGCGGCTTACAATTTGTAGGAAGGGAGTGCAAGA